TTTCAGGGATCTTTCTTTCTTTCTTTTTCTTTTTCACTACTTAGTTCAGAATTAATCCATGAAGCATTTATGAAGATCAGACTGTGCTGTGCTGCTTATGAAAAAGAAATCCAGTAAGGAAACTGGTGTTTTGCAAAAGAGTGTGAAGTTGTTTGAGTTCCCCCAAAATGAGTCATTTAAAGTGGATTAGAATCCAGGAGCAAAAACAGGGTGGATGGGTGAGTGAAAATGGGGCTTTGGAAGAGCTGCAGTGGTGCAGTGGTTAGAATACTATATTGCAAGCTCACTCTGCCCACAGCCAGGAGTTCATTCCTGAACAGCTCAGGATTGACTCAGCCTTCCATCCTTCCGAGGTCAGTAAAATGAGGACCCAAATTATTGGGGACAATATGCTGACTCTGTAAACCACTTAGAGAGGGCTGTAAAGCACTATGAAGTGGAATATAAGTCTAAGTGCTATTGCTATTGTGTGATTTGTGCCTGATCCACATAGCAGTTCTAAAATGAATTTATTAACTTGATCTATAAGCCTCTTTTCTAGGTAAAATGAATCCTCAAAGTAGTTTCCAATCCGATAAAATATAAATGCATATGAGGTTAAATAAATCTATAACACATTCAAATAGGATGAATAAGTTGTGATTTGAGTTGTGAGGCCTGCCCTGTGGAATAGTCTTTCCCCTTTAAATTTGATTGGTCCAAATTCTGTGGTCCTTCAGGAAGGCTCTGTAGAGCTGACCAGTGTTCTTGGCATTGGGACAAAGATATTAGATGAGCTCATCATGGCAAATGTAAGAATTGTTAACATGTGGTTTTCTTGTTTTTTTGATTTTTGACAATTTTTGTCATTAAAAATATTGTAATTATGTTTTTAATCACTGTATAGCTCTTGGACTTGCATTTATGTGTGTTAATCAGCCCCATCAATCCACTAACCAACAAACAGATCTTTAACAATCTAATGAAAGACATTCAATCTTGCAGATTTTCAGATTGTTCTTTGAGTTGGGACTAAATGGAAGCCCAAGGGGTTGCATTGCACCACATGCAATCCCCACTAGGTAGACCAGACCAAGAAATCAACTCCATAGTAAGGCTATTTTTTTTTTAACTAGGCTACAATAACTGAATTTTGATGTCCTTTCTTATACTCTGAATCCAGAAGATGTCTTCCTGAACCATTTTTGAATGTTAGCTTCTTGTTTTTTACTTGAAAGTTGCTACAGCCTTTTTTGCCTAGGTAAGAGTTCCTAGGTGTCTCCATCAGAATCATCTTCCTCACTGTCTACTCTATCTGCAGTAAAAAAAAAAAAAAAAAAGTAAACAAGCTTCCATAATCCAGAAAAAGGAATTTTTAACTCTAGGGGCTATTCAGTAATATTGTGTAACTTGCATCCTGCAGATTTTAACAACAGAAGATATGATTAATAGGAAGAGAGTCCTTTAGACCAGAAGTGTCAAACTCAAGGCTCGTGGGCCAGATCCATCCCATGAGATGCTTAAGTCTGGCCCAAGAGGCCACCCTATAAACAGCAAAGGACCAGCCCGCAGTGTCTCTGCAGTGAAAATGGAGTTTGAGAGGGCCACATGAAGTCCTCCTGAGCTCTCTTTTCACTGGCAGAGGATTGCAGGAGGCTGTCACAGCCGAAAACAGAGCTTAGGAGCCTGTTTTCACTGGCAGAGCACTCAGGACACCACAGGCACCCTGACACGAGTGACATTGAACCAGCCATGCCACCCTAGCCCCCCGAGGTCAAACACAGCCCTGATGTGGCCCTCAATAAAATTGAGTTTGACACCCCTGCCTTAGACCATCAGGCTCTAAGGCAGGGCTGTCAAACTCCCAGCCCACAAGCCAGATGTGTCACATCCATGCCCAGTTTAGTGAATGGGGGAAAAGTCCCAATATCACATGATGATGCCGTGACGACATGAGTTTGACACCACTGCTCTAAGACATTTAGAATATTTAAGATTATTACTAATGCAAAATTTGGGTCCCCTGGACCATATGCAGCTCTCAGAGTCATCTTCCTCATCTTGTAGAGGAACAAAGGAAAGAGGAAGGAGTGGTTTTTAAAAATGAAAATAGTAGTTGCAATTGTGCAATCAAACTTTGCCTTTTCAATCACACAGTTGTACCCATCATTTTGGCTTTTTTCTGTGCCCCTTGATATGGCCTTTCTGAGCTTCAAAATGTAGCAAGGAGAAGCTGTTGCAACAGAAAAGTCAAGAAGATCAAGATGTAGCAATCCATCAGCTCCATGAATGGGTTTCTTGGTTTCTCCTGAAAGCAAACTATATATTCACCTGGTCATGTTTCATGGAATAACATAAAAAGAACACCTGCCTGCAGTCAACTATTTGGCATACAGAAAAGATGTCAGGTATAAAGAAGCAGGACCACACATTAAGTTCCAGTCAATCTGATTTATTTCCCATGACAATATATGGGAATCTAGTCAGCTGACAGCACTTAATTGGCACTAGATAAGAGTTACTGGAATCCAAAAGGGGATGGATTTAGATCAGGGGTCAGCAATCTTAAACACTCAAAGAGCCATAAAGGTCCTAACTGGAAGTTCAATTCTGGAGCCAACCGGATGTCCGGTTCTCCCATCATAGAATCTCCTAGCATGGCATCCTTTTTTCTCTGCCAATGACAGGGAGCAGAAGTCCAGTTCCTCCACCATAGAGTCTCCTCCTAGGGCTGCCTGTCCTTCTCCTACATCTCAGGAGGGTTGCTGTTCCAGAGGATGGTTGCCATGGCAGAAAAGGATCTCTTCCTGTGTCCCATCAGATGGAACTATTTAACAGACAGGACATCCAACACACCTCTCTTTCCAGATCTGATGGGATGGATAGATGTAACTGGAGAGAGGCAGTCCCTCAAATAATCTAGCCCTGTGCCATGTAGAGCTTTAAATGTTAAAATCAGCACCTTGAATTGCACCTGGAAGCAAACTATTTCTAGCTATCCTGTTCTGTTTATTAACAATCCCAGAGCTGATTCCACCATAATGTTTATTTTCTGGAATCTTCTCACTCAATTTTTTAAATCAGTCTCAAAGTGATTCGTTCAGAGGTGCAGTGGTGTTTAATGAGACATCCAAAGACACTGAATTAAGAAGACCAGGTCCTTAGTGATGGAAATGCAAGTGGGATTTGGAGAGAGGAACAACTTGGGAGTATATACAATAACAACTGTTTTAAAGGTAGTAGAAAAGGGAGTAAGACTGGAATTAAACCAGAGAGCCCAGCTTCTTCCTTGTGGAGACAATGGATGGATTGCATGAACCATTTCCTCCTTCTATAACTACCATGAGCAGTGTCTCTCAGACTCTTGGAGAGAAGACAAAATGCAAGACTTTATCAAGCTGCCTTCAATAATCTTCTCTTCACCCTCAGTTGTGTTCTGACTACAATTAGCTTTAGAGGCAAAGTCTCCATCTGAGTGGAATAGAAGAAAGGAGTTTAGGAAAATGTCAACAAGCATCTCAACATGTGACAGAAGATATTTGAAAGAAGGTAAGTTTGTAACAAATCTGGAACCATTTAAAAGTAAAGATAAAGGTTCCCCTGCATGTGCATGCTAATCGTTTCCAGTTTTAGAGGGAGGCACTCATCTCTGTTTCTAAGCAGAAGAGCCAGTGCTGTCCAAAGATGCCTCTGTGATCATGTGGCCGGTATGACTAAATGCCAAATGTGGAATGGAACACTATTACCTTCCCACCAAAGTGGTCCCTATTTTTCTACTTGCATTTTTAATGTGCTTTCAAACTGTTAGGTTGGCAAAAGCTGGGACAAGTAATGGGAGCTCATTTTGTTGTGCGGCGCTAGGGATTCAAACCACTGAACTGCCAACCTTCTGAATGACAAGCTCAGTGTCTTAGCCACCGAGCCACTGTGTCCCTTATTTAGATGGGTCTAATTCAGCCATTTAGATGGGTCTAATTCAGAAGTTACTCCTCCAACATTGTTGACATACCTTTTTAAGATGAATAACCAAAATGTTTATTAAGTTTGAGGTAAGAAAATGTCATCTATATATGAAGTTGCAAAAGGATTTGAATATGAAAGGTTCCTTATCTTAACAGCAAAACATTTGAGCAGCCTTTTGGGGGAATGTCCAAGGCTGATCTGATCAGCAAGGAACAAAGAGAGTGATTTAGAGACTTGGAAGATAGGGCTTGATGGTCTGCTCTGATTATCCCCTTCAAAGAACTCTTTTTATCATAGAATTACAGAAGTGCAAAGGCCATCGAGGCTATTGAGATCAACTTCTTGTTCAAAGCAGGAGCCCATATTAAAGCCTCTCTGGTTGATGTCATAAAGTTATCTTCTATTTGAATGTATCCACCATAAGACAGAAGAAACAACAAAATACATATAATATTCCACCTTCCTGTTACTTCCATTTCTTTCAACAGTTCACCTCTTCTGGTTCAAGAATGAATGGCCCTTTTATAGCCTATTTCATCTGCTGAAGGAAGATGTTCTCAGAACTTATGTTGTGGGCCTTTTTCATCTCAAACCATGGATTGCTATGATAATATTGTGTGAACTACATAGGTACTATTTGGAGGAATCAGGAACAATCTGTGTGTCATTTGCTACTAAACCACATGCAAGTTGGTGCTTGCAGGACATAGAAACATGAAATAAACAAACTCTAACAAAGTACATTAAACATCTGTTTATGTCAGGAACAAACAATCAGACCTATGCGTGTAAGGTTCAAGGTGACTACTTAATCTCTCTCCGTATTACACAGGCTGGTAGCCTTCACAAGAGAACTACTAGATACAGATCTAAGGCATTCAGGAAAGGTCAAAGCTAGCTCACTTTATACAGAATGTGTAGCCTACTTTTGCACTTGGGCACTCCTCCCAACAGGGAAGGTTGCTCTTCAATAGGAACATCTGCTTAAAGACTTCATTATTGTTCTGCTTATGGTTTGTCCTCTTTCTATGATTGATTATACCCTTGATGTTGCACAGATGGAATGTAAGAATCAAACTTCATTGAATGAGTTTGTCCTTGTTGGCTTTCCATATCCCGATAGTCTGAAGGTATATTTATTTATCTTCTTCCTGCTCATCTATTTAATGACACTCTTTGGCAATCTTCTGATCCTGTTAGTTGTTCTGTCTAGTCCCCATCTCCACAAGCCCATGTACTGGTTCCTTTGCCATTTGTCCTTTCTAGACATGACAGTCTCCACCGTGATTGTTCCCAAGGTCATCGTTGGATTTTTAGAAGATGGGGTGGTCATATCCTTTGGAGGTTGTGTATGTCAACTCTTCTTCTTCCATTTTTTGGGTTGCACAGAATGCTTCCTTTATACATTGATGGCCTATGATCGTTTTCTGGCTATTTGCAAACCACTCCATTATGGCAACCTCATGAATCACAGGACATGTCTCTTCCTGGCCATGGGCACCTGGGTTGGAGGATGTCTTCACTCCATAATGGAGACAGCCCTTGTTTTTCGCTTGCCCTTTGGTCGAGAAAACCAGGTCAACTATATCTTCTGTGATATCCCTGCTGTGTTGAAGCTGGTCTCTGCTGACACAACACTCAATGAGATGGTAACCATGGTGGATGTCGGTCTTGTGGCCACCACATGCTTCCTTCTGATTTTGACTTCCTACATGTACATTGTCTCCACCATCCTGAAGATTCGCAGTGCTCAAGGTCGTAAACGGGCTTTCTCTACCTGTACTGCTCATTTAACTGTGGTGGTGACTTACTATGTGCCCCTTGTTTTCATCTATCTTAGACCAGGATCTCAGGATTCACTGGATGGAGTGGTGGCTGTCTTCTACACCTCACTGACTCCACTTTTGAATCCTATTATCTATACACTGAGGAACAAGGACATAAAAGTTTCCCTTGTAAACTTGTCAAGGAGGTCATCCTAAGCTGGTTCTTTGAATATTCCTGGAATGGCAGTCAAAAGCCACAATCCCAATCCTTAATTGTTACCCATACTGACACCCAACAGCATGAGTGCAATTGGAGCAACACAAAAATCATCGCCCATGCTACCACCCACCATTCCACAAGCAATTCCATCAGCAGAGACATTGACCTATAATCAGCCTACAAACCCCTCAGAATCCAAAACAACCACAGAGCCAACTAGATGGCACCCACTCTAAACCAACCCATGCAATTCCCCACCACCAGCAGTTCACCTCCCAATGACCCTGACCTGAAGTAATTGTCTTATCACAAGACCCATCATAAGGTTCACTGATGACTTACAACTGATCCATCACAAGACCCTCACTTGACACATCCAGACCTGAAACCCTTATAAATAGAACAGAGACACAGATATCCCCTAAATTCCACTGAAGATGTTACCTAGCCTGGTAACATAACATTTGGAAATCAACTCACAAGCTCAGAGAACACACTTTCACCCTCATCCTACACCTGAGCTACAGAAATTCACCACTGTTGCATTCCTGGAATCTTGTAGCGTGACTTTCCTACTGGCATTGCTATACATTGTTGATTAGAGGGCTTTAATTCCAAGCATACATTTTTATAGTAATTAACCTGTAGACACGGGCACCATGTGAGCCATCTTGAGATTGTTTGGCTGGGGTGGATATAAATTCAAATCCAAATAAATAAAAAAGAGAACTGTGTGCTTTCAGAACATGATTATTGACAATCCAGTTAATCAAACAGTGCTTGTGTCAGCCTTCAAGATTTGTTCCCTTTGCTTTGCATCTTTTGGCTGTCATAAGTAACAGGGGGAGGAAGGGTGGAATAGTTATGGGAAGTGAGCTGGAGGTTTGAGAGAAAAAAACTGTATAAGTTGTGGGGGTAGTTTCTTGTTTATGCCTCTTTCCTATGCTATGCGCAAGTGCACTTCTTTATCAATGGACCAATAGGCCAAGCTCAATGGACAGATGCCTCATCACCACATGACATTATATGAAACTTTTAATTGGATGGACAATTTGAACTATTGTGGGTGGGAACATTGCCATCACTTTGTATGTGTGATTCAGTTCCTCAAATTCATAATTCCTTTGATGCTACCACTTGATTTCCAGTTACATTTGTTACATTTAATGCCATACAATGTTGATTGGAAGACCTTAATTCTAAAAACAAATAAAAATGGTTTTCTTCTCATTAACTCACAGGCGTGAGCATCAAAGCTTTTAAGAGGAGGCATATCAGGGCTCACCCAGTTCAACCTTTTTTTTTATTCTAGCTGATTTTCAATATCTACTTCCTTACTCCTAAATTGTCATAACCTGAATTAGAAAAATATTCCATCCATCTTAGAAAAGTCATCATCATTTTCTCTCCTTGTGCCCAGAAAACAAGCTTGGGATCCCAAAAGATCTTGACTGACTTAAACAATGGCCTCTTGCTGGGATCAAGATGAAATTTAAAGTGGAGAAAAGCAAGGTTTTTTTTCTGACCCTGGCTGAATAGAATCACTAAACAGACTCCTTGTCCTGGGGGGGGGGGGACCTTTTTAGTTGGTTAATGTAATTCCTGGCATTCACACCCAGAAAAGTCCCAGCAATAATTCTTCCCAAGTTTAACTGCAAGAACAGATCTTATCAGTCCTTGGCTAGTTTCCAGGCTGAGAGCTTCCAGTTGCAATGCTGTAAAAGGAAATACTTGATAAGGAGTCTCTGTGAGGCACAAACACAGATAAGCAAATCTTCACAATCATAAGTGAATCAATTGTCTCCTGCAAACACCCCTCCCCCTTTTTCCTATTTATTCCATATGGGAGGGGCCTTTCCCTATGAGAGGGTGCCTTTTCTTCTGAGTCAACCCCTGCTCCTTAGTTGTTCCCTTCTCCTGATAGCTCTAAGCATATGCACATCTGGAACAGGCTCCAGCTGTTCTTCTTCCCCACTTATTTCTGATTCTGAAGGCATCTGATAAATGTCGGATGGCCCTGTCCCCAACTCTGCCTCCAATGCAGAGCACTCATCAGAGCCTTCCCCAGATTCCAGGATTGACCCAAGTTCCAGCCCAACATACTCACTGTCCAAGTCTGCCACCAAGCCTGTGTTTTGCTCTCCCAAAGCCTCTGCATGAGCCCTGCACTTACCTACATCAAAAACGGACCATGTGGAGACTCCTGGGAGGGGTGGAATGGGGTGGGTGGGTCCAGCCAGGAGTGGGATTTGGGGGTTCTCTGATTGGCATAGAATCTTAGCTAGGGGCTCTACCAAATCACTGCAAAACCCCAGCAGCTGACCCCTGGGTGTCATCAGGCAAAAGATTAAAAAACAAGATGGTGACCACAAATATGTATGCATGTATGTATGTATGTATAGCCAGCCCTTTGGGATGATCCTGCCCCACCAGGACCATCAGAAGAGGTATGCTGTGGATCCCATCAGTCAAGGGATTTAGGCTGGCAGGATCTGGGAGATGAGCCTTTTCTTTGGAACATCATGCCCCTGTTTCTCTGCAAACAACAGAGAGAATGCCATGGAGAAATGTGGTAGAGCTGACCTGGGGTGATGGCACATATGCCCACAGAGAGGGCTCTGCATGCCATCTGTGGCATGCATGCCATAGATTCACCACCACTACCATTTCAGGCAAGTGCCTGTCTAGTTTCTTATTAAAAACTTTGAGTGATGAAGCACCCACCCAGTATGACATGGTCACTCCTGACCAAGGTTCCAGAAACTTCAACTCCCTCTATTACTTATTTTCTATTAGTAAGAATTAGGTCCAATATAGTTTTTCCTCCAGTTCCCTCCTCTATCTTTTGGATGACAAAATTGTCAGCTATGTTGGTTAGGAATATATTTAATCTCCCACTTGCGGCAGAGTTTGTCTCCCAGTTGACATCAGAGTAGTTAAAATTTCCCATTACTACTGTGGTATGTTTCCTACCTATATTTATTAATTGATTAGGAAAGAGTTTATCTATTTCTTCTACTTGGTTGGGTGGTTGTAGTATACGCCAAAACATTTTTTTTTTTTTTACATTGACCCATATGGATTCTAGGAGGTTTTCATCTTAGAATGAAATTGGAATTGGAATTGGAATTCCATAGGAATGCAGTGGAGTGGAGTGGAGAATGGAGAGTAATGTAAAGTAGTACAGTGGAAAGCTGGACTATACTATATATTAGAGTAGAGTAGAGTAGATTAGATTAGTGTAGACTAGGGAATGGGAATAAGAATGGGAATGAGAATGAGAATGTGAGTGCAGTGAAGTGGAATGGAGTAGGGAATGGAGAGCAACATAGAGTAGTCTAGTGGAAGACAAGATTACAATGGACTAGACTAGACTAGAGAATGGGAACAGGAACAGGAGTTGACTGCAGTGCAGTGAAGTGGAAAACAGAGAGTAATATGCAGTAGTACAGTGGAAAACTAGATTACACTATATACTGAACTAGGAATTGAGTAGAGTAGAGTAGAGTAGAGTAGAGTAGAGTAGAGTAGAGTAGAGTAGAGTAGAGTAGAGTAGAGTAGTCTAGTGGAAGACAAAATTTCAATGGACTAGATTAGACTAGGGAATGGGAATGGGAATAAGAATGAGAATGAGAATGTGAGTGGAGTGGAGTGAAGTGGAATGGAGTAGGGTATGGAGAGCAATGGAGTAGACTAGACTAGACTAGGGAATGGGAATGGGAATGGGAGTTGACTGCAGTGCAGTGCAGTGGAAAACAGAATAATATACAGTAGTACAGTGGAAAACTAGACTACACTATAGACTGAACTAAGAATAGAATAGAATAGAATAGAATAGAATAGAATAGAATAGAATAGAATAGAATAGAATAGAATAGAATAGAATAGAATAGAAACTATATCAATGCCTAAAGTTACATTTGTATTTTCATTTGTGGATATAAAGATTTTTTTTGTGTGTGGCTGGTGCCTTCCTGCCCCAGGAGGCACTCACATGTTCACATACATGACTGTCTCACTATCATTATGAAATTAGCCAGTTTCTCTTCTCCAGATCCTATGGGATCCTGTGGAAATAGGAGGAACAGACTCTGAAGGATGTTATTTATCACCCCCATGATATTCCATCCCATGGCTCAGAGCCTCAGAGCTCCGTGAATTGATTTGATAGTACATTGCATTCACTATTTGTGTCTGAAAAACATCTCAAGATGACAGTTGAGTCTGATCTACCTCAAAGATCTTCTTGCAGACGGAGGTATTTGCACACAGAAAGAAGACACTGATTGAAGATGTTCATACTCATGGTTTTGCTGTTAATAGTAAACCCTCAATAGTGTGCAAGAATCCTAGCCTTCAATGTGGCCATGAGGAGCCTCTTCCTAATCGTCACACGTATCATCAGCTTGGAGACATCAACATTGCTGGCATTATTTCTGTATTGTTTACATTTTCTATTTCCACTGATTTCAATCAACATCCTTCTCGGGCACTTCAGGATAGATTTATGTAAGTAATCATCCATTCATTGTCAAGTTCTGGACCTTGCTGTAAAATCACATGATGCTTCAAATGTTTTCTTGTAATGACAAAAGCTCCAGAAAGAAATACCTTGATGGGATGGGATGGGATGGGATAGAATAGGATAGGATAGGATAACAAAGTTACTGTAGGTCTTCAAGCAGTCAAACCTATACCATTTCAGAAAAATTGTTGTCCAATCTCTTCTTAACAACCTACCGGATTGGAGCACCCACAATTTCTGAGGGCAAGTCATCCCACTGATTAACTGTTTTAACTGTCAGGAAATTTCTCCTTAGTTCTAGGTTGCTTCTCTCCTTGATTAGTTTCCACTCATTGTTTCTTGTCCTGCCCTCAGGTGCTTTGGGGAATAGGTTGACTCCTGAGATATTGGAACACTGCTATCATGTCACTCCCAGTCTTTCTTTTCATTAAACTAGACAAACCCAATTCCAGAAACCATTCTTTCTAAGCTTTAGCCTCTACTCCCCTAATCAATTTTGTGGCTTTTTTTCTGTACTCATTCTACAGCCCCAACATGTTTATAATACTGTATACTGTACTGTGTAGTGCAATATTAATGCAATCGGGGTTTTCAATTCAATGTATAGAATGTGAAGGATATGTTTTGTGTTTATTTTCATAGTCATAATGTAAACTGAAGATGGTATTTAATTTCATTGTATAATGTGCAATGACAATAAAGTAAACTAAAGTAAACTAAGCTAAACTAATAAATCACATCCAAATACTTATGACCATAGAGATATGAATGGCTTAATTTATGAAGATGTAATTACTGCTAAGATTTGGGGATGGGATATATTTCCCATGATAATTTTTTGATTGAATATTTCTGGTACCAAAATTCTGAAATTTCCTCCTGATATAAGCCATTCTTAAAAGCTGAGGTTTGATATTGCACCTTTTTCATGTTTTCAGAAATAATGTTTCCAGTTTTAGTCCAATATTTGTTTTAAAAATAACTCCAGTTGCTGTAGGGTGGATATTTCATTATTCAAGATCTTAGCTGAAGAGTGAAAATATGACACTAAAACTAAACATGGAATGTGGAATGAAGCAGACCATTCTTAATGTTCTTTTTTATTCTTTACAGGGTATTTTTTCAGAATTACCAGCATGTCCTGGCCTTAGTGTTTGCTCTAAAAGAGATCAATGAAAATTGCCAGATCCTTCCCAATATCATGCTGGGCTTCCATATTTTTAACAGCCATTTAAGTCCAAGCAGGATTTACTTTGCTTCAATGATGATGCCTTTCACTCATGGAAAATTCATCCCTAACTACAAGTGTGAGATCCCAAAACCTTTGGCTGCAGTGATTGGGGGACCTGATATCTCTCTTCACATGTACTGTGCATCTACAACGTTCCTCAGGTAAGAGGTGCAGAAGTTATTCTTTATTGTATTGCCATACTTCCCCAGAAGTCTGTGTGCTTCTTTCTCTAAAGAAAGGAGACAACTCTCAGATTCCAAGATATAATTTTTTGCTTGATAGGATTACTATAGCAGCATAAGTACTCAAAGCTCTGAATAGATACTGGGGATATTGGACAGGGCTAAACATTGTTGCCACCTGTGGTGGGATTCAAATTGTTTTACTACTGGTTCTGTGGGCGTGGCTTGCTGGGTATGGCAGGGGAAGGATACTGTAAAATCTCCAGTCAGAGGGGATATTTGCCAGTTCTCCGAACTACTCAAAATTTCTGCTACCAGTTCTTCAAAACTGGTCAGAACCTGCTGAATACCACCTCTGGTTGCCACAATACAAAACAAATGTTGAGACTCCAAAAAGAGAAGAGCAACAAATAATGATTAGGAGTCGGGAGGCTAAAACATATGAAGAGCAATTGGATACATCTAGTTTAATGAAAATAATGATTAAGGCTGACCTAATAGCAGTATTCTAATATTAAGAGGTTTCCACAAAGAAGATGGGGTCAACCTATTCTCCAAAGTACCAGAAGGCAGGACAAGAAGCAATGGGTGGAAACTAATCAAGGAGAGAACCAACTTAGAATAATTAACCAGTGGAATGAACTGATGAACTTCAGATGTTCCGGGTGCTCCATCACTGGACCTTTTTAAGAAGCAATTGGACAGTCATTTGTACAGAAAGGTATAGGCTTTCCTGTTTGAACAAGAGGGTGGACTAGGAGACTTTTAAAATGTTATTCAATGTCTGGCAATAGATAATGTTTTTCTATGCCGAATAGCCCCACTGCCTGTTCAGGCTTATAATTACTTCTGCTTAATTTTATCACACAAAAAATAACATCTAGGAATCTGAAAGGGGGGGGGATCTATTTTACAAAGCAGCCAAAGGCCACACAACGAAGAATGGGTGGAAACTAATCAAGGAGAAAAACAAGCTAGAACTAAGGAGAAATTTCCTGACAATCAATACAATTAACCAGTGGAACAGCTTGCCTCTGGAGGTTGTGGGTGCTCCAATATCAGAGGTTCTTCAGCGGAGATTAAACAACCACTTGTCTGAAATGGTGTAGTGTTTCCTGCTGGAGCATGAGGTTGGAATAGAAGACCTCCAAGGTCTTATTTCTGCAATTCCAGACACCAGATGGAAGTTGAAATTTGAAATGTTCACCATGAGACTATTCCCAGAAAAGGGCATTTCTTAATAACTTAAATGTGACATCTTGGTTGATTTTCCTAAATAAACACAGCTACTTGCATAATGTTTGGGTATATATAAACTCAAGGGCACCCAAAGACTAAAATGAATGTACACAGTGTCAAGGTCCACATACACCTTCCCATCTGCATCTGTTTGTCTAATTGAACTATGGCTCTGCTCTAGCCATGGATAAAGAGACTCAAGCAATTTTCTTCCAGCAAATGTTTCCAGATGAATCCCATGAACATAAGGGCCTCATGCAGCTACTGGAGTACTTAAGATGGATCTGGGTTGGAATTCTTGTAGCAAAGGATGAGAAAGAAGAGAAATTTGTCCAGGAGGTAGTCCCTATCTTTTCCAAGAATGACATCTGCACTGAGTTCATAGCAGAGTTACCATACATAGATTTTTACATTGATTTTGCTGATGTCATAGATGAAGGAATAGGTATTTATCATGTTCTCATGAAGAGCAGGGCCAATGTGATAATCATATATGGGAAAATTCAGTCTATGTCAGTTCTGAGAATTTTGATCCAGTTTTCAGAAGTAGAGGACATACCAAAGAAGCCAAAGATCCGGCTTATAAATGCTCAGACAGATTACACTTCAGCGTCATTTTTTAAATCATGGGATCTCTATTTCCTACATGGGGCTTTATCCTTTGCAGTCCACACAAAAGAGGTCCAAGATTTCCAGGAATTCCTTCACAATCTAAGTCCAAACAATGACCATCATGATCATTTTCGGAAAGATTTCTGGGAACAGACACTTGACTGTTTCTCCTCCAACTCAAGAATGGAGACATCTAAAGGCAACTAGTACCAGACAGGAGAAGCTTGGGACTCTTCCTACATCTGGCACACCAGTGGCCAGAGTTACAATATTTGCAATGCAGTCTATCCTGTGGCACATGCTTGGCAATCTCTATATATGTCCAAATCCAGGGAAACAACAATAGGGAAAGAGGAAGGAAACAGTTTCACAAACAGATGTGGTGGCAGGTAAAAAACTACCATATCTGTAATTTCAATTTAATGTTTTTATTGGGTTATAAGATAAAATAAGATACAAAATACTAGAGTAAATAGGGAAATGGTGGAGAGGAAGAGAGGGAAGAGAAGTGAGGAAAGATAAGAAGAAAATAAAATAAAGCATTGACTTTCAACTCTCTCTATTGCAGTAAAATAAAGCATTAACATCAAATCACAACTTTTTGTTTTTCGATTTTCATAATAATATGAACAAGCCATTTTTGTAAAGAACTAACAATCTAATTGGTAACCCAAAATCAAAATTTCATTCTTTTCCACTTCAAGCACAAAGATCAAAAGGAGTTTCCTTATGGAAACAAAAGTACTTATATTCTTTTCTTTGATCAAAATAATCAACATTTCCACCAACTCCATCAACTTCTGCATCTATTTGTCCATATTAGGAATTGAAGTGTCCTTCCCTTTTTGTGTATACAATAACCTTGCTGCTGTCAACATATATAGTAACAAAGTTCTAATTTTATTATCCAAGTCTTTTTCCATTAGACCCAAAGGCAAAAGTTCTGGTTTCATCTTTATCTCAATTTTCAAAATTTTCTGTATTAAAATATTAAATATTAAAATATGAACCATACTCCAATTTTTTTTTTTGCTTGATCACATCATATCTGTAGTTTCAAAATTTATCCACAATATTTTTAGGGAGATTGACCTTAGTTCTAAAAGTTAGGTATAGCATTGAATTAACCATATTGAAATACTTGAAATGTGTTTCTGTCTATGAAATTAACTGTCTTCTAAGCCCAAAAATGTCTTGATAATACATGATGATTCTTCCATGCTGCATTTAGTCTGACACTAATGGTGGACAAAAATGGTGGAATAGAATCATTTAAAAAAGGATGCAAAAGGAAGAACAAACTAAAATCTGAATGACAAAAATTAAAACTTTTTTATTTATTTTAAATAATTGAATTGAATTGATTCATTGTCCTGAGGTGAGTTGGCCATGGTGAGTTGAGCAGAGTAAGTTGGCCATGGAGAGTTGACCATGGTGGGGTGGCCACAGCAAGTTAGCTGTTGGCAAGTTGTCCCATTCTGCTCAAAGGGTAGGCCTGATTGAGAAACCAAGATCGGTTAGGTCAGGATTAATTTTATTGCAAGCTCTATAATAACAGTATCCTACAAATTTGAACATCTTTACCCCTCCCTCACATTTTTTTATATGAACTGGGCAGGTTTGAAATGTTTTCTCAAGTTATTTGTCATTGTCGCACCTCAAGGTCTCTAATCTCATTGACTTTCCCTCCTGTCCTTTAAGACCATTGCTATGACCTCCAAAGATGCAGAGATTTCCCCATTCACAACACATTCGCTGGGGAGGAAGGAGCCTGACTACCTTAGCCTCCTGCTAGCTGTTATTTATTTGATTCTGGTCTACAGCTAAAAGAAAAGTTTTTATATTTTCTTTATTAAGAATAGAATAGAATGGAAGATCTAAGTATAGTATATAAAATCATACATTGCAATGTCCTACCTGTCAATGAATACTTCAGCTTCAACCATATCAATACAAGAGCAAACAATAGATACAACTCAAGGTTAATCGCACCAAACTTGATTGCAGGAAATACGACTTCAGCAACAGAGTGGTCAATGTCTGGAATACTCTGCCTGACTCTGTGGTTTCTTCCTCAAACCTCAAAAACTTTAACCTTAGATTGTCTACTATTGACCTCACCCCTTTCCTAAGAGATCTGTAGGGGGCGTGCATAAGCGCACCAATGTACCTACCATCCCTGTCCTATTGATTCTTTTTATTTTTCTTATATGTATCCATTTCATGTATTCATAACTATGTTTATACTTATACCTATTATCTTGTAAGCAATTGAAAAATCAAATAAATAAAAAATAAATAAAGAATAGGATAGAATAGGATAGGATAGAACAGAATAGAATTTTTTAAACATTCATGTTTATGTTTTAAACTTATAAATTCTTTTCCTTCCCTCTGTCTTTTTCTCTCTTTTTCCCTCTCTGCTGTCTCTGTAGTTCAGGATAATTCTTTTCTAAGAAGTGTCAGATTCAGCAACAGTGTTGGTGATAAGGTCTTCTTTGATGAAAATGGAGAATTCATTGGTGGATATGATATTATCAGCTGGGTCACATTCTCAAACCAGTCATTCGTTAGGATCCAAGTTGGAACGGTGGATCCCATAGCTCCAGCAGACAAGTTCTTCAGTATTTCTGTAGATTCCATCATGTGGCCAGTAGACTTTAATCAGGTTAGCTGTCAGAATGTAGACTGGTTTGCCTTCATTTATGTAGCATAAAAATATCTTTATTGATGAAAGTCTTAGAGCACCTTCTCTGAACTAATCTAAATGTTCTAGAGAAGGAAAAAATTATCTGTAAGAATGTTTACTTTTCTAATAGTTGACATAGAACAGAGGTGTCATACTTAAGGCTCACAGGCCGGATCCAGCCCATGCAGAGCTTAAATCTGGCCTGCGTGGCCACCCTGGAAACAGCAAAGAACAAGTATACAATGCCTCTGCCAGTGAATATGGAGTTATGGTGCTTGTGTCTGTTTTCACTGGCAGAGCTCTGCAGGAGGCTTTCCCAGCCAAAAATGGAGCCTGGGGGGAGCTGCCCAGTCCACCACAGGTTCCCTAGACATGAGTGACATTGTTCTGGCCATGCCCACCCTGTCCACACACTCATCCCACCTCCTGAGGTAAAACACCCTTGTTGCGGCCCTGAATGAAATCAGTATAGAATATTGTATTCATTACTTTGACCCTTTGTTAACAATGCCAGGTTTTGAAGTAAAAGCGTACTAAAAAAATTTGGAAGTAAAAGTGTGTACTAAATTTCATCAGTGG